GGCTCAGACAGCGCTGGGTTTATATCTAATGTAGGGGATCTGACTGCATGTTATCAGGACAGGCTCAGACAGCGCTGGGTTTATATCTAATGTAGGGGATCTGACCGCACGTTATCAGGACAGGCTCAGACAGCACTGGGTTTATATCTAATGTAGGGATCTGACTGCACGTTATCAGGACAGGCTCAGACAGCGCTGGGTTTATATCTAATGTAGGGGATCTGACCGCACGTTATCAGGACAGGCTCAGACAGCGCTGGGTTTATATCTAATGTAGGGGATCTGACTGCACGTTATCAGGACAGGCTCAGACAGCGCTGGGTTTATATCTAATGTAGGGGATCTGACTGCACGTTATCAGGACAGGCTCAGACAGCGCTGGGTTTATATCTAATGTAGGGGATCTGACTGCACGTTATCAGGACAGGCTCAGACAGCGCTGGGTTTATATCTAATGTAGGGGATCTGACTGCACGTTATCAGGACAGGCTCAGACAGCGCTGGGTTTATATCTAATGTAGGGGATCTGACTGCACGTTATCAGGATAGGCTCAGACAGCACTGGGTTTATATCTAATGTAGGGGATCTGACCGCACGTTATCAGGACAGGCTCAGACAGCGCGGGGTTTATATCTAATGTAGGGTATCTGACTGCACGTTATCAGGACAGGCTCAGACAGCGCTGGGTTTATATCTAATGTAGGGGATCTGACTGCACGTTATCAGGACAGGCTCAGACAGGGCTGGGTTTATATATAATGTAGGGTATCTGACTGCACGTTATCAGGACAGGCTCAGACAGCGCTGGGTTTATAGCTAATGTAATGGCGGCACGTTATCAGGACAGGCTCAGACAGCGCTGGGTTTATATCTAATGTAGGGGATCTGACCGCACGTTATCAGGACAGGCTCAGACAGCGCTGGGTTTATATCTAATGTAGGGGATCTGACTGCACGTTATCAGGACAGGCTCAGACAGCGCTGGGTTTTTATCTAATGTAGGGGATCTGACTGCACGTTATCAGGGCAGGCTCAGACAGCGCTGGGTTTATATCTAATGTAGGGGATCTGACTGCACGTTATCAGGACAGGCTCAGACAGCGCTGGGTTTATATCTAATGTAATGGCGGCACGTTATCAGGACAGGCTCAGACAGTGCTGGGTTTATATCTAATGTAATGGCAGCACGTTATCAGGACAGGCTCAGACAGCGCTGGGTTTATACATAATGTAATGGCGGCACGTTATCAGGACAGGCTCAGACAGTGTGACTTTTGCGCTTGCAGTAGCTGCATGTCCAGTTTATATTGATACAGACTCATGTATTATAACTGTGTTTAGAATGTTTAAGATGCAACATTTGTTTTGTTGTCTGTTGAAAATTTATATTATTTTCAGATATTAAACAATAATCAACTATTCTCTACTTGGAACTTGTTAAAAAATGACACGTTACGGTGTGATAATTAACACACCCGTGTTAAAGGGTAATTTCGTCTATCCAATAGGGAGATTGCTGCATTATGGGCTCAGTGTTCTCCATACAGGTATTTAGCTGTGGGGGTGGGGTGGGGAGAAATGCTGAAATGTTTTTATTTCATCTCAAGGTTTGCAATATATAGAATATTAAGAAGTGTAGCTTCCTAGCATTGTGAAAATCATGTTTATTTATTTTATCGTCACAGTTTATAAATATATAGTGTGTGTGTGTGTGTACGTGTGTGTGTGTGCGTGTGTGCGTACGTGTGTGCGTACGTGTGTGTGTGCGTGCGTGCCTGTGTGAGTGTGTTTTTCTGATTCATTAGAATTAGAAAATTGTTCTTTTAGACATTATTTCAGTTTGTTTCCTCAACTCTAATTTTGTCTGTCTTCTCTTTAATGCATTTTCTAAAGTAGATTAAAAAAAATACGATAAAATGAGATAAAAAAAAGAGACCAAAATAAAAGACAGTGTTTAGCAGGTTTTGATAAATCCCGTCCATGTTTCTCCTCCTCCAATGTAACGCATGCCATGACTGTGCCAGAACTGATTTGGATTGTGACGTCTTTAAAGGGACACTAAAGTCACCAAAACAACTTTAGCTTAATGAGTTTTTTTTAAGAGTTAAATCCCTTTGTTTATGAACCCTAGTCACACCTCCCTGCATGTGACTTGCACAGCCTTCCTAAACACTTCCTGTAAAGAGTCATCTAAAGTTTATCCTTCCTTTATTGCAAGTTCTGTTTTACTTAGATTTATCCCCTGCTATGTTAACAGCTTGCTAGACCCTGCAAGAGCCTCCTGTATGTGATTAAAGTTACATTTACAGTGCAAGAGCTAAAATTGTTTAAGGTAAATTACATCTGTTTGAAAGTGAAACCAGTTTTTTTTTCATGCAGGCTCTGTCAATCATAGCGAGGGGAGGTGTGGCTAGGGCTGCATAAACAGAAACAAAGTGATTTAACTCCTAAATGACAGTGAATTGAGCAGTGAAATTGCAGGGGAATGATCTATACACTAAAACATTAAGCTAAAGTAGTTTAGGTGATTATAGTGTTTCTTTAATATAAATGTAAAATCAGAGCGTCACGTGGGAGAAGGTGAACACACATTCTAGGTTATATTAATTGATTTAAGCAGAGATGGGACGAGGACATCACCTAATACGATGATACCAGATATAGGAGAGGGACTTTCATCTGATTAGAAGTTGGATCCTGCGATCATTTGTAATAATTTGATTTTTATTTGCTGTTTTGTCCCCAATGTAATATTGTAAAGCTCTGCAGATAATTTTATATTATTATATTATTATTATTATTAAATTAAAATAATCTTGGTTCCACATGAAGGATAATATGATAACAATCATTAAATGATGATAATAATAATAATAATAATAATAATAATAATAATAATAAATGCAATATTTGATATTAGTGCTGAGATATTGGGAACATGCTATTCAATAGACTTTGTGGGAGACCAGAGATGGTGGAGGATAATATGATAACAATCATTAGATGATAATAATAATAATAATAATAATAATAATGAATGCAATGTTCGGAATAGAAGATATTAGTGCTGAGATATGATACATGTTACATGTATGAAGATTTGATACATGTTATCTGTATAAAGATATGATACATGTTATGTGTATGAAGATATGATACATGTTAAGTGTATGAAGATATGATACGTGTTATGTGTATGAAGGTATGATACATGTTATGTGTATGAAGGTATGATACATGTTATGTGCATGGAGATATGATACATGTTACATGTATGATGATATGATACGTGTTATGTGTATGAAGGTATGATATGTGTTATGTGTATGAAGATATGATACGTGTTATGTGCATGAAGGTATTATACATGTTATGTGCATGGAGATATGATACATGTTACATGATTGATGATATGATACGTGTTATGTGTATGAAGGTATTATACATGTTATGTGCATGGAGATATGATACATGTTACATGTATGATGATATGATACGTGTTATGTGTATGAAGGTATGATACGTGTTACGTGTATGAAGATATGATACATGTTACGTGTATGAAGATATGATACATGTTACGTGTATGAAGATATGATATGTGTTATGTGTATGAAGAGATGACACATGTATGTGTATGAAGATATGATACATGTTACGTGTATGAAGATATGATACATGTTACGTGTATGAAGATATGATACGTGTTATGTGTATGAAGGTATGATATGTGTTATGTGTATGAAGATATGATACGTGTTATGTGTATGAAGAGATGACACATGTTATGTGTATGAAGATTTGATACGTTACGTGTATGAAGATATGATACATGTTACGTGTATGAAGATATGATACATGTTACGTGTATGAAGATATGATACGTGTTATGTGTATGAAGATATGATACGTGTTATGTGCATGGAGATATGATACGTGTTATGTGTATGCAGGTATTATACATGTTATGTGTATGAAGATATGATATGTGTTATGTGTATGAAGATATGATACGTGTTATTTGTATGAAGATATGATACGTGTTATGTCTGTATGAAGATATGATACGTGTTATGTGTATGAAGATATGATACATGTTACGTGTATGAAGATATGATACGTGTTATGTGTATGAAGATATAATACGTGTTTTGTGTATGAAGATATAATACGTTTTATGTCTGTATGAAGATATGATACGTGTTATGTGTATGAAGATATGATACGTGTTATGTGTATGAAGATATGATACATGTTATGTGTATGAAGATATGATACGTGTTATGTGTATGAAGATATAATACGTGTTATGTGTATGAAGATATAATACGTGTTATGTCTGTATGAAGATATGATACGTGTTATGTGTATGAAGATATGATACGTGTTATTTGTATGAAGGTATGATACATGTTTTGTGTATGAAGATATGATACGTGTTATGTGTATGGAGATATGATACGTGTTATGTGTATGAAGATATGATACGTGTTATGTGTATGAAGGTATGATACGTGTTATTTGTATGAAGGTATGATACATGTTATGTCTGTATGAAGATATGATACGTGTTATGTGTATGAAGATATGATACGTGATGTAGGTCATGTATCTATTTCTTCAGAACCAGTTGGGCTGTTTTAACTCTTAGGAAGAGAAAGTGACAGGAAAGTTACAATAATTTCCTAAACACGTGCAGTTTATTGGTGGTTTGAGAGAGAAGGTGACATTTGTGTTATTTCTTTCGTTTACAACCAGCTATGGAAAGCAGGAAAATGAAACATAACACATCGGAACCGAAAACAATTACACATTAACAGTTATAACAGCCGTACTTTGACCGCAGACACAGTGACACGGATATTGTCTGTTTCTTAATGTAGAGCTTTGAGATTCAATAAACTACTTCGGTTTATTGAAGTTGTTATGGTTTGAGGCTCCTGTGCCTACAGATTAATCAAACTGACAAATTAGAACATTAAGGCGAAGCACGAACCACCTCCAGGCTCTGCTCTGCCCAATGTACTGACTGGGACTTATAGGCAACTCTTACCTTTAGATTGCTGCCTACTCTTATCTAATCTTCTAGTTGGCCACTAAGCGCTGATCCTTTAGTTGTTTGTCTACTCACAATGAATACACTCCCCTCACCCCAATACACGGCACTCACCCCATTAACACGACACTCACCCCATTAACACGGCACTCACCCCAATACACTCCCCTCACCCCGATACACGGCACTCACCCCAATAACATGGCACTCACCGCACTAACATGGCACTCACCCCAATAACACGGCACTCACCCCAATACACTCCCCTCACCCCAATACACGGCACTCACCCCAATACACTGCACTCACCCCAATACACTCCCCTCACCCCAATAACATGGCACTCACCTCAATAACACGGCACTCACCCCAATACACGGCACTCACCCCAATACACGGCACTCACCCCAATACATGGCACTCACCCCATTAACACGACACTCACCCCATTAACACGGCACTCACCCCAATACACTCCCCTCACCCCGATACACGGCACTCACCCCAATAACATGGCACTCACCGCACTAACATGGCACTCACCCCAATAACACGGCACTCACCCCAATACACTCCCTCCCTTGTAACATGGCACTCACCTCAATAACACGGCACTCACCCCAATACACTCCCCTCACCCCAATAACACGGCACTCACCCCAATAACACGGCACTCACCAAAATACACTCCCTTCACGCCAATACACGGCACTCACCCAAATACACTCCCCTCACCCCAATACACGGCACTCACCCCAATAACACGGCACTCACCCCAATACACTCCCCTCACCCCAATAACACGGCACTCACCCCAATAACACGGCACTCACCAAAATACACTCCC